CATCACTATGTGGTATATATATGAAAATGACTACAAAATTACTATTATGAAATAGGAGAGTGAACATTTAGAGTGTTATGTAGTTTTCTAGCAACTCTTCTTTTGTGGATATTTTCATTTTAAATAATGTAATTATTGTAATGTAACTGTTCGCACACATACGTACTTCCAAAAAAGAATTTGACATAATTTTTTTCGCATTTTTATGCAAAGGCGGAAATTTCTCAGGCTGACATAAGATTTATAATAATTTTTGATATTAACTGTTTTTTTTTAATCTGTATCATCTTGCACACTAAAAGAAAATAAATATGTTGGGTTGTTTGGGTTGAGCTGTTTCATTAGACGTTGAACAAGGCAGCTCGAGTTTTGAAGTGACTAATGTTAGTTTGGTAAAAATCAGAATTTTACGAATTTCAATTCGCGCTATTGAGTTTCCACAATATTAAGACCATCGGCTTGAGCATATTTATTGTGAGATAATCACATAGATTCTATGACTGATCATATATTTCATCAACATCGTACACGGTGCATCGATTTAACGAAAACAGTCAGTCAGTCATTGCATCATTGGATACTAAATATTCAAATTAACCTTGACGCAGTTTGTGACATAAAACAGTGACATCTGGGATACTATGGCACACAAACATTCAATTCGTTGAACATTGAACAGGCTTCTGAAAGATATTAAAAACAAGGACAACTATTTGGCGGGACTCTGTTGATACTTTCAGGCGGTTTCAGACAAACACTAAAATCATCTCGATCTTCGGTCACAAAGGAAAAATTTTTAAAAATTGGTAGGTGCTGAAGCATCGTAGGCAATGTAATCATGACAATGATGAGATATGCCTAAAGAGTAGTGATATAACCAAATTGCCAGAGCAAAGTTTAACCACATATTCTATATCATGCCGTATAGCATCTATATTATAGAAGATGTGGTAAAAACAATATCTGCAACTTTAATAAAATGTCAATTAAATAATCAGCCAAAGCTGCCAGAAGGTAGAAGTTGCAACCTTGATGAAAAGACTTTTAGAATATCATTATATTATATTATATAAACGGAATCTATCATGCTATAAATATTCGAGATCCTTTTGTCCCTACTCTCAAAGAGCACTGTTTCGAAGTCATTGGCAACAATTTTGATCAGCGCCTACATTGATAAATCTTTTATGAAACTAAAACTGATAAATTGATTGTGAATCACCTAACATCCGTATGTGGTATAAGTTCCGTGCACATAATGTTTGTCCTGAAAGATAAGAAAAAATGAAAGTACACGATGCTTCAGTTATATTCTCTCAGCGTCAGTGATGAATAGATATGCTACTAAGCAGTGTAAGAAAATATTGTTTACTGTATTTTATTGTCATTCTTATTATATTGTGATTTAATCATATTTTAGATGATAATTTTGAAACACAAGAGTTAATATTTCTGAGAGATGAGTTTTGTTTTGCTAGACTAATATAGAATTTTCTGTCGTAAGATATGATTTTAATATTAAGAATAATTGTGCAGTTAAATTTTTTTTATTTATGAATTAATCCAGCATGCCAAGTTATATCAAAGGCTTGGGATATGTCAGGAAACAATCTGAGCAGTACCTTTCTTTTATGTAGGTTGCATTTATCTGTTCGACGATTCTAAAATAATAAAGGACGATTCTAAAACCGATTTGATAATCCGGATTATACGATTTATCATAGAGTGTTGTAA